TCCACATAATAAGATATTTGATTTAATTATTGTCTAATTACAAAAATTCACATATTATTGTATAATCTGAAAATTGAATTAATGTATTTTCTGTTTTATATATTAATAATATAATTCAGATTTCTTTATAGTTCGACATTACATAAAAATACTTACAATTTGTAAAATTGGTTATTGCATTATTTTAAGAAAAATGCATTAAAAATAATAAAATTAATAAAAAAGCTGTTAATATAAATTGTACCTTGAATATAATAATATTATCTGAAATTAATTGTTTACAAATTGTGCCCTATTCTGTTTACATTTGTTAATGATCACATTAAATACAAAAATATTTTTCTTGTTTATCTTATTTGTGTTTGTAAATATAATTATAAATTTATTTAAAAATAATTATAATAAAATAATTAGATTTTGCATTTCAAGTTTCTTTCTTAAATAAATAAAGTATAATTAACTAAATAAATAAAATATCGCTGTTTTCACAATACAACTTGCATCACACATTTTCTGTGAAAAAATAATTTTCGTGACGTTGTTTGAAAAATAAAGAGAGACAAAAGAATTTTGACCAAAAGAAAAGTGTCTGTAAAATTGCAAAAAGATACTTTGGAACAATAATTTATTATATTATTATTACCAAAGAAAGAAGAAGATTGCACTTCATCAATTTTTTACGCTCATCTGTGCTTTTCCCATGATTTGAATTTACAACGCTTGAGGAAATAAGACATTTGACGATATAGATTGATATAATTTAATATAATTGCTTTCAACGAAAAGTACTAATACATGTACAAAATAAAAGGATAATTTGCAGCTTTTTTTCGCTGAGGGAAGTAATAGAATTTTCTTGTGTCAGATAATAGAAGAAAGATGATTGCGACATGTTTTATATTCCATCAAGTCTCAAACATTTTCTCAGTCGTCATCTAATTCCCAGAATATATAAATGGAGCTCGTTCTGGATCAATATTATAAATTGAACCGTCAGGTATTGTCCATATATGGACTATGGCCTTATCAAAATACGACAAACGCTTGGATTATGCGAACGTTTGCAATTTTGTTTATGTCTTGGGCTACATTCGGCCAGGTAAAAAAGCAAATTTTTTGTTTTTTGGTTTCTAATTTTTTCGTGTACATTATTATAACATATTATACTATAATGTTATATATAGAGAAAAGTCGCCAGTAGTGATATAGATCTTCTAAAGAGACATTATTATTATTATCCTATTTTTCAAAAATTAAAAATTGTACTTTATTAATATTATAAATCCATGATCTATTTAGATAACTAGATAAATAAAAACCCTTAATTCATATATTTATGGTTTGTTTCTACATAAAATCAGGTTTTTTAAATATAAAAATTAAATTCTTGTTTTCTCTTATAAATTACACAATTTACACAATTTATACAATTTAACTAATAGTGAGTAAAAATATATATAAAATAACTTCAAGAAGTTACAAACTATAAAATGATCTATAATAACTTCTTGAAATTATTTTTATTTTTATTTTTTATTCTTTTCTCTTCTTTATTTTTCTTATTATAATGTGATTTTTAAATATAAAATCGGGATATAACGTAAACTGGCATCTAGTATTAGTGACTTTTATTGATAGTATCAGTGACTTTCTTGTATTCATTAATATTATAATATAGGACTTTTTACGTTTTAAGTATAATTATTAAATTAAAATTTATTTGTTTAGAAAAAAATATACGTATATAATATAATATATATTAATTAAGTATAAATATATATATATATATATATATATATATATATATATGTATTAATGTATTTCATAATATTTAATTAAATTAGTATACAAAACAAATTTTTATTTTCTATAATAATTGTAAAGAAATTTTAAGTAATCAAAGATATGTCTTTTTAGATATTTAGGATTTGTCATTCAAAATTAACAACAGATTTTATACTTGATTGTCTACCTATTATCATACCTAATATTGGTGCGATAGTTCAAGTCGTAAATCGTATAATAATCAATGACAAAGTAAGAGATGTGATGTATTAATATAATTTCTGTATTCAAATATAGTTTCTGTACAATTGATCTTTATATAATATCGCGAAAGAAAGATTATAATTACGTCTTCGCTACTATTCGCAAAACGAATGAACACTTAATTTGCAGCTAAAAAGTTTATTCAATCAAATGAAAATCCATTGGGCATGCGCAAGATCTCAAAATGAGATTGAAATTTTGCAAACAACCGCAGAGACCACAAGACTAACAACGAAATTGGTTTTACGTAAGTAAAATTTCGATCTTATTATTGCAAATTGGGGACGTCTATTGTTTTACATCTGAATCTATTTTATTAAAATTTCTAATATTTTATTACAACGTTCTTTTATTTGTATCTCGTCAGAGGTTTCATATTGAGATTTCAAAGTTCAATCATTTCAAGGTTCTTTTTTATATGATAAACATATATAGCGGATATATTTTTTGATTGATTTTTCATTAATTAATTTTTCATCTTCCAGTTTACTTGTTTCTAGGCGCAACTACGTACATGTTTAGTACACTAATCCCGCAAATTCTAGATGTATTTCTACCGCTCAACGAATCACGTTCTCGCGAGCATCCATTCCATGCGGAATGGTTTCTTAACGAAGAAAAATATTTTTACGTTATTCGATCGTTAATGTACATCGCTCTCTTGTTCATTTTAGGAGTAGTCCTTGTCAATGGAAGTGTATTTGTTGCTTACATGCAGCATGCCAACGGAATGTTCACCATATTAGGGTACTGCCTCTATACATATACTTTATCGCATTTTGCACACAATGTGTATTTTATATTTTTTTATTCAACACATTTAATTTATAGTTTAATTATTTATAATATCAAGTACTTTTATCAGGTACTATTTTATCATGAGAAATATTTATATAAGTGCATGCTTATAGAATTTTTTTCAATTGTTAAATATCTGAAGAGGAAAGAAGAATAAGATGATTCATTGGTTCAATCATTTTTCTTAATTTTTATAATAACATGAAAATGATGATGATCTATTTCTTCAAATTTAACTATAGCCTTGCTTTTGTAATCTATAAAAGTTGAAAAATTTATATATTTATATATTAAAATTTTTGAAAATTTATATTTTTTATAAAAATATCAGTTATCATCCGATCCCTATATGTGAGTAAAATGATTTTTGACTCTACTTAGACTCTACTGTCAAATTCTTATATGCTATTAGCTTTTCAGAAAAATTTGCAATTTGTTTTCTTATTTCTTTTTCTCCTATCGCATAGCAAGGATTCTAATTAACGTCGCATTAAAAAAAATGTCCCGATGCACGATTTAAATGTTATCATTATATTTAAAATGGATTTCAAAATATAAATTTATGTACTTGTTTTTGTACTAAATTCTTAATTCAAATTCAAAATATTTTGCTTTGCGCAAATTATATAGACATCGTGCAGAGCAATCATTCAATGGCGATAAACATCTATTAAAAAATCGATCTATCCGTGAAGAAGATTATGGAAGAATTGTTGTCTTTATCGAAGATCATCGCAACATTTTAGAGTCAGTAATCATCAGTATGACATATGATATATACATTTAAGTATGACAATCGAGAAGTTACTGAAATTAAACGACATTGATCATTTTGTAACGTATGAAGAAAAATGAATTGAAAATCTGTTGAAGAAACTCGAATTTTTATTAACAACTCATCGTTTTTATTCTACATAATAAATATACATATACATACATATACATACAAATATACATATTTGAAATTGTAAGAATAAATATAAAATCTATCAATTTAATTAATTAATCTTAATTCAGTGATCTATATTTCAAAATAATAATTTAAATTTATTTAATAATCGAGATATTTTTAAAAATTATCAAATAAAATTTATAACATTAATGAATGTGCTTTTATAAAAAATTCTAAGTTCTTTACGTGGAAATATTTACTTTTGCAGATTTTTAAAAATGTCATTAATTTATACAACCAACGCATTATTGATCATTTTTTAAAATATTTATTTCTACAAGTTTGTAAATATATATTTCTTTTGCACTATATATTAATAAAAATAAGTGAATAAGTAAAGCAGTATTTAACTTATTCCATTCTCATGATATTTAATTCATCAAAATAATAATTGTTTAGTTTCAACAAACTTTCTTGCTTGTCATCCCATATAGAAAACAAATATTTTATATACATTGGTACGCACATTTTCGGCATAAAATAATAAATTATTTTATTCAATCATTCTTTTAAGTACGTTTTTATACCAAGTAAATATGTAACACCACAAGTATCAATCTTATCGAGATTAAATCGTATTAATCGTATTAATAATTTTTGAATACCTTTTTTTATGCAATCTAAGATTTGTGGACATTATTCAGTCGTGTTATGGCTTGAGCCTCTTTCTCGAATTTTTAAGCTTAATGATTCTGATAGGCGCTACATTGGTACAAGTGAGTGTCTCACATTAATTACTAGAAATAATGAGTACATTACTGTCGAGCAAAATCGCGGTAAAATCGCGTTGTGATGAGAAAAAATAAATTAAAAGACAATCAGGGTAGTCACTGTTGTTTAGATAATTAAGTTCACCGGACTGTCGGACCGGTCATTTAGATCTGTACTTTATATCGCTGGACAATTAATGTACATGTTTATGTATAGCTATATGGGTCAGCAATTAATTGACACGAGTACGCAATTATTCATGAAGATGTGAGTATCGTAAAACGCACGTAAATCGATTAATATGTGCATACCCGTATTTTAACAAGCGATATTTTATTAAGATGCAAGTATTCCTTTCACTTTTGCTATCTGCTCTCATTGAAAAGTCATGCGGATCTTGATATATGTCGACGCAAAACTCTGTTTCAGATATTATATAAAGTGGTACAATATATCTGTGTGGAAGCAAAAGTTAATGTTATTTGTTATGTTAAAATGTATGCGTACGCTCAGCATTAATGCATATAACATCTATATTTTTAGCTTAGAAAGTTTTTCGACGGTAAGTGACGATGACACTGATAATAAATTAAAATCATAAAATTTTTTTCTCGCCGATAATGTTAATGCAAATGTGTCTTGTTTCAAGATTGTGCAATCGGCTGTGTCGGTTGGTATGTTGTTGAGACATGTATGAAACGCTGTATATAAACAATTTGTGAAAATTATGTTATATGTAGTCAATATATATGAAATTATCGTATATTTGTTGTGAGACTCGAACATCGCTTTACTTCCTAAATCGATCCTAAATTGATATAAAAATAACTGCCAATATGTAAAAGTTAATTCTTTTCTCTTTACATAAAATCATAACATTTCTGCATTT